TGACATCTTCACGCAATCAGGTCGCTGTCTAGCTAAAATCCCGTTACAATGCGAAGAAGAAATAGTCTTCGATACCTTTCAGATCTACTTCCTTACTTCGTTTATAGGCAATATCGTGTATAAATCCTGTATGACTATTGCCTTTTTTTTTTTTTTTTTTTTTGTTTAATAGATGCTGTGAATTTTCATTGGCTGGAGAAAACTTTTTACTTGAAACTTGAAGTGTTTCCGTAAGCGCTTCCAAAGTACTTCCTAGGTCCAATTGAATTCCTAGTTGAGAAATCATTATCTAATCATCTTTCCTATCTAGCTTCTCTAATAAACTCACTTTAGAAAATAAGACATCATTCAAGACGTCCGACTCTTGCCTATGCCTATCATGGCATCAGTGTCGAGAGGTCCATATGATTTCGGAATAGTATCAAAGTTTAAACGATACATGTCACAATTTATTCTTAGGAATTGCTCATCGATACAGATAGATGGATAGATGCGCCTATAAAATCACGAAAATATATGAACGAAAGAAGAAAATAAAATTATACGAAATCGATTCGGTAATAAATTGAAACATGAAAATAGTATAAATGAAAAAAAAAAATAAAAATAAAAATAAATAAATAAAAAAATAAAGTAAAAAAATCTTCATTTTTATTATTGTACAAAAAAAATATATTTCAACATAATTATTATTGCAGTAGAAAGAAAATCATACAATTACTGATAGAAATAATCGAATATTTTTTCTCTCTACGTTTTCCGTTATTCACAACAGAGACATGAATAATACGCAAATATTAATATGTAAAGAAAAAAAAAAAAAAAAACTAAACAAACAACTACATTATAATTAATTATATAAGAATATAAAAAAATCATAAAAATAAATTTATTTACATATTGAGAACATATACTTAATTATGTAGATATTAAGGTAAAGGTGTAATAATTATTATTGGAACACACATTCTCGTATGAATGTGCTGGGCTGCTGTATAATTGTGTGTACTATCACCACCCACACTCTCTCTCTCATAAAAAAAAAACAATGTATTTATGTAAGAAAAGTAAATTTATCTTTGTATTCGTTAGTGTACGCACATACATAAAAAGGAAGTAATTCTTAAAAGCATAACATACATGCATTCATTTACAAATATATTGGATAATATAAAGAAAAAAAATTTTAGATATACACTACATTATGAGTGTATTATACAATTTATTATTATTATCATTATTATTATCATTATTATCATTATTATCATTATTATCATTATTATTATTATTATCGTTATTATTTTTATTATAATTGTGATTATTGTTATCATTACCATTATCATTATTGTAATTAATATTATTTCTCTTATTATTGTTATTATTATTATTATTATTACTATTACTATTATTATTATATTTATTGCTATTATCGCTATTATTATTATTATTATTATTATTATTACTATTATTTTAATTAAGATATATCTATACATGAAAAATAAAATTAATAAGAGGAATAACAATAATAATAATTTGTGTTTCCATTTATTCCATTCAAACTGCACATTATTAGAGATGGGTTGCAAAAAATGTGCCTTCATGTCAAACAACTGTTATGGGTCAATATTAATGAAGATTCGTCTTCTGTGGAAAATATTATATGCGGAGAGGTTGAAAAATTTCAATCAAAATTTTTCACTTCAATTTGTTATGTTGATAGGGGTAAGCCTCATCTGGAAGTTTCGTCAACATATCTCGAAAACTTTTATCTATAGGTTGATCAATATATAAAAATATGATTCCAAATAAACATAAAATACCTTACATGGCAAGTTTTTTGAATCCAACTTGTAGTCTGCACCTAACACTGACAAGCTCGGTGGTGGGCCGGCATGAACAAACGTTCACTGATCGCATGCAAAAATCCCCAAGCATAGCTAGCCCCCAAGTGATGCCAATGTAAAGAACTGAACATTCATCCACAATAAACGGTCCTGCTGACCTTCTCGAAAAAGAGGAAATTAACATGAAGTGGTTGGATATGAGGTCAAATATATGGGTGTCTACTTTGACAGAGGCTTAACCCGGCATCCTCATTCAAGGCGGCTAACGGAAAAGGCGGCCACAGCACTTTTTACCTACCTTTTCGGTGAAACACGCGGTATAAGCTCAAAAACGATCTACTAGTGTTATACCACTATAATCCTTCCCATGCTAACATGGTGGGTAAGGTGAAGCAAAAATCGGCGATGGCAATATTAAATAAAACCCAACGTCTCGGGTTGATTGGCATTACCGAGGCGATAAGATCGTGGATGAGCTAAGCAGGCACAATGCAGTGCACCTGATATGCGCGCCTAGCCATTCGGGTAGTAAAAGTAACGAACAGGCTGATTATTTAGTCAACAGGAGAGCCTGAGGGGCCATGATAGGTCGTGAACATTTCTATGGCGCCGGCATCACTATGGTCACAGAATAAAACGGATTGCCGTTGAAGGCAATGTGCCGGGCAACGGAAGGCAAAAAGATTCATAAAATCTTCGGTGGTGGTACAAAAACGACTGGAACTAAGAAGAAGCAATCTGTATTTAGTCACTGGCCTCTACACAGTTCATAACTCCTTCAGGTACAATCTGAAAAACATGGGTATGTTCAACACCGATTCATGCCGAATCTGCCAAGCGACGAGTGAAACGTCCCATCACATACTATATGAATGTGAGGCTGTCTGCGGAATCAGGCACCATATGCTTGGCGAGAAATTTACAACGCCAGACACGGTGTGGTGCTGCATGGATCCAAAGAAGGTGGCGAGCTAGGGGCATGGTCGTGTACAGTAGATCTTCTTGGTCGCCCACATCGTTAACAATTAACAATATATCATAAGTGGCATGAAATATAATTAGTGCAAGAAAGTAAAATTTATCTGTCGGATTAACCCGTTATGAGAAGAAAACAAAAGTAAAACCGAATTATCGTCTCCAAGCAAATTATTGATAAATTTATTCTCGCTTTCTTTCAGCAATATTTGACTAACAATCCCAATACCTACTATCTAATCTAATTGCATTTCCTTGACACATTAACTTGCGATAAATTACTCTGCACATCTAAGAAGAAAATTTAATGATAACACATTTTAAAATTACGTTCAGATAAAATATTTATTTAAAGTCAAAATTCTGTATTTTTATATTTTATTTGAATGTCGTTAGAATGTTTTCGAATTTGAGATGATTTAAAAAATATATTTTTTTGGGAAGATTTCTCAATTATATAAAATGAATAAATTTGGGCAAGTACTTGAAGAAGTATCTGCGTAAAGTACAAATAATTAATATATTGTTAAGACAAAAAATTTGATAGTTAAATAATTTTCTTTTATAATATTAAAATGTTCATGTGTCTGTGAGGATATTTTATGATTTGTTTTTTTGTTTTTGTTTTTGTTTTTTTTCAAATAAATACTTAAAAGATAAATTATTTATTTAATTTATGAGTTTTATTTTGTTCTTATAAAAATGACATTTTTCGTTTACTGCCCTCTTCAATTTCAGATGAATGGAAAGTTTTGTACTTTATTTGTAATTTTTGTAGCTTTAAAGTGTATGTTTGCTATTTTAACATCAACTACAATTTTTTTATTTTTATTTATTTATTTTTTTCATTATTTAAAAAATTTCTCAATCAACTTACAAGGAAACTACTCTTCTCGTTTAGGTAGATTTTAGCAGTGAAAAAATAAACAAAGTGAGATATATATGCAGGTTAAAGTTTCTTAATCCATTGAAATATGATTTCAATTTGTCTTTGTTCTATTTTTGTTGCTGAAATTTTTGAATATCGGGCAAAATGTTATAAGTATATTCAGTATGACAGTAATTTTAAAGATCGATATCTAATTTAAAAGAAATTTATATACCCTTTTGCTTGAATCTTTGGTCCACGCAGTTTTAAGCTGTTATTATTATTAATTATTATCTGTAAGAAGCGCTAAGTGTTCGCGTTAAGGGCAGTGGGAGAGAGAATAAGCATTTAGCTTTCTGTCTAAAATTTTGAGGTTAACACCGAACACTGTTGATATTTATGTTATCTTAATTTGAATTGTTTCCATTTTTTCGGTTTTTTCTCGAACTCTAGAACGAGGAAGAATTGTGTGTTGTGTTTGCAACAATAGAACGGTTGAAGGCAAGTAAAAATTTGCTGCGAAGAATATATTTTTCAATTACGTGCTCGTGTTCGACTCCTGCATATTTTTTTAATTATGACAGATATTTGGAATTTCTTTGCTAAGCCTGTTTGCGAAGAAATGATTTCAAAGCATCTCGCACTTGACAACTTTTCGTCGCATCCGTGACAACATATATTATTTTCGATTTGAATGAAAGAGTGAAATTGCTGTTATTTTCTTCACTTTTGAAATCCTCAAAATTTTACGGTTTTTTTTTTTTTTTTTTTTTTTTTTTTGCGCAACAATACATTATTAAAGCATTCTGCCGAAAGCGAGCCGATACAAAAAATTAAACAATAATTACCAATCAATGAATTTTCGAATTTTGAAATAACTCGGAATTTACAATGGAAAATTTAAATCAAAGATCTATTAGTCTAGCAAAATGTAGTAGTAGCAGTAGTAGTAGTAGTAGTAGTAGTTCTTACGAGTAATTTTACCTACCTCTTTTAGAAAGTTTACTTAGTAAGTCTATTTTGTAGCTTTTTTTTTCTTAAATTATGGGCATTAATAAAATACTCTTCTTTTTTTTTTTTTTTTTGGTTGTGCAAGCCCCTATGTTTTGGTTTGAAAAATCCCTGATTATAATTTTGCTTTTCGTAATGTTTTCTTTTCTTGTTTTGTTTTTTTTTTTATTATTTTTTAAAGAAATCAAAATAATACTTTATAGTTTATAAAACTTTTTTTAATTTTAAAAATTATTAGAAGAGCCAAACAAATTTTTTTTTCTGAGAAAGAATAATTTTTAATTATTTCACAATTGTTATTGTTTTTTTTTTTTTTTTTTAAGGGTTATTTTCAACGTTTGAGAAACGTTCGCTTATGCGGTTTGCAACTGCCTTAATCACATCTAGGGCTGTATTTTTTTATTAATCTTTTTTCATTTTTTTTTTTTTTTTTTTCAACCATTCTTTTATACATAAAATTTGAATTCTTATAATTGTAGACATAATAAATAAAGGCTTAGCTTTACGCATTTTTTTGCATTTCTTTTTTTTTTTTTTTTCTTTTTATTCCTTTTTTTTATTGTGTGTCAATTGTTTTTTTTATTTATTCCAGATTTTGTTATTAATAAACTGCAGTTATTTTTTTGTTTTGCGTCGTTTTGCAGTTGGATTCGGAAAATTCTATTTATTTGGCAACTCGGGTGGACAATCAGGTTGATTGGATGGATGGGCGGCACGAAAAGCCGGATTACTTTCCAATTCGCGATCAATACGCAATATTATAGGATATGGACGCAAATCGACATGAAATCTGCAAGCGATCAAAAAATTAACATTCATTGGTCCTTTTTAAAATATAAAAAACAAAAATTCTCACCTTCTAGCATTGAAAACTTGCGGTACCAAACAACAATCCGCCATGGTAATCTCGTCACCAACGCAGTACTTACCAGCCGAAGTAGATAGAACTTTCTCTACCGCACGGAAGCCACGGGTAATCCAATGCTGGGCCCATTCCTTTTTTTTCTCTTCACCCACGTGAATTAACACAATTAAATTTTGCAAAGGTTGTATTCCCGAGCAGATTATCTCACAAATTTCACGTACTTTGGCACGTTTATGAACATCTTGTGGCAATAAAGGACGCTGAGGGCGTGTTTCCTCCAGATAATGCATAATAGCTAATGACTCAATTAGGGTGTGACCATCTTTAATAGAAAACAAAGAAAACAAAAATGTAATTTTATATTATAATATTTTCTCGGCATTTTAAAAAATGGAAGAATATATTTACCAATTTGTAGTGCTGGTACTTGCTCCATGGGATTTACTTCACGATACTCATTGCAATGTTGTTCACCGCCCGATTTAATCAGGCTAATTGGTTTAATATCATACGGTATCTCCTTTAAATTGAGAGCAATACGTACTCGCCATGAGCAAGAGCTACGCCAATACGAATACAGTATTGGCTTTAGTTCAATATCATAAAGAGTGGTCGCAGAAGCCATGATTTCCGAAAAGATTAAAAAATGCACATTAAATTATTTCTTTATTATATGTGTTCCGTAAGAGATGTAAATCTCAACTGACATTGCAAAGAATTCTATATATTTATCAAGCAATAAATAGCGTAACGATTTTCCCTTATCTACAAAATTTAAAAATTTATACCAAAATCTTGTTTGTCCAGTATTTGCATATATATGGCATATACTGCAGTGTGAATATATAATGCAAGTTTTATGTAAATGATACCAACAAGTTTAATATTACGTTGAATTTTTGTATATTTCACATTATCAACCAAGAGCTTTCTGTCGCCAACGCGTTTGCTTTGAATATTTATATCTCACAATACTTCTATTTCTATATGAAGGCTATATTAAATTTATGAAGATGCCTGGCAAGATCGAGGGCTAGAAGCGAGTAAATTCACCTATTACACCGACCGATGTTCTATAACAGTTTCCCGAATCTACTTAAACTTTGCTCCCCATATATTTCTCTAACCTTCCGATATTTGCCCATTTATTTATTTTTTTTTTTTTTTTAATTGACATGCATTGGATTAGATCACTTTTACGTCCCTGTGTTATTTATTCTTCACATTTTGAAAAGGATGCGCAATTTTCAATAAATTTCCCGGAAAAAACTTTACCTTTAACAAAGACTTCATATCAATTGTACAAATTAAATCTCAAGTGACTGTTATTACGCCTTAAAGTTTGGAGTGAAAAAGATTGAAGATAAATTATGTAAAAACACTATAGGCAACTATGAAATACCCTATCTACAATTTGCTAGTACATGTATATATGGCAAGTGATCAAAAAACATCAGTATATCAAATTTCATTAAAATATCTGAAAAAATGCGTTCTATACAACTTTTAACGCAAGACGGTAAAACAAGGCCGACAGACAATCTTAAATCAATGCAGAAAGTGATTCTGAATTGATCGGTATAATAAAGCGTGAGTTCATCTCAACCCCTTTCATCAGGTGTTGCATACGTCCGACCAAACTTAATATACCCTTATACCACATATAGTATGGCGTATAAAAACTGATAAAAAGAGAATATTTCGAATAAGCTAAAGGTTAATTACGCTCACTGTTATCTAAAAACTCAATGTAGGAGCAGAAGAAGACGAAAGTAATAAAAACTTTGCGAGCTTTCATTGCCATTGTTGTTAGAGATGTTAACGAATCGAAGGAAATGCATGGAAATCGTAGAACGACTTAGATGTAAATAGTCTTATAGCAGAAATCGTAACTTTAAACAAAAATATGATCGAATTTTTTCACGTTAAAGATGGCAAATAAGGAACAGTCACACGTAGTTCTCTTTGAAAGTCCTTTCTTGAACACGGCTGTAAACGATGTTCCATTTTAATGTACTCACAGCAGTAAATCTTTTTCTTTTTCTTTTTATTTTTTTATTGATCAATCACTCAATGGCTTTCTCCTTTAATGAATAAACACAGTCATCGAGAAAGAGGATAGAAGAGAAGATCAAAATTCTGCGAGTTGTATGCTTGATTAGTAAGCTGTGAAGCTCTGCGCGCCGACTTAATAACCGCACTTCTTTTCTGATAGACTATGCTTTGCCTATACGGATTAAGCAATGACTTGTTTGTGTTTTTAAAGTGTTACATGCGTATTGAAATTTTAAAAAATCAATTCTTTTCACTATATTTTCTATCAGTGATGTTAAAAATATTTTCCCAAAATTTCAAGTCCATCGGAGTAGAAATCCGAGCAAGAAAACTTTATCTATTATTACTTCACATTTACTCGCTTTTTTCTCAGCACTATATTTTGAAAATGAACTCTACAAAATTTAGACCTATTTTTGAATCCCGTCCTTGTGTTACATTAAGTTGCGTTTTGGCCACACTTCCCCGGTATTTGGCACATGAAAAATATGCCTTTATGTATATAAACAAGATATAATTTTTGTGTTCTACAATAAAAATAAGAATTGTGTTAGCCATTGTGATGTAGAGTATTTAATAATCGGCCTTGCCCAACTATAACGTTCTTAGTTGTTTTGTCCAATAATTGTTGCTCCCTTAAACGTTTTCATATAAAAGAACATAAAATAATTCATTTCTTTGAATCTATGTTAATTGTAAATGTGTATTATTCGGTGAAAACAAAGACGTCAAAAGAGAAGAGACAAATAATAGGGTGTATCTATATTTTACTTAAAACAGCTAACTCATAATAGGAAAGCATTAGTCTTGGCAACATTGCCTTGTTCCCTAAATTTGCATATATCTATAACGTATAACGCAAGGTCGGATCAATGAACTCACGAACATAAGTGTATTCATCGGGTACACAAATAATTACGAGATACGATACAATGACCAACTGAGTAAACGTATCATTCAAGGACATTCATCCACAAAGCTAATAACTAAATTAGCAAAAGAGCAAACAGCATTTTAAGGAAGAGTATGCAGACGAAAAATTTTAAGCCGAGGAACCTAAGAGATTTTGGTTTGAGTTAATGGACACGGGGAGTATAACAATCGTACATAAAATAGAACGTACTACTAACGCATAATGTTTATGCTTGTATGGGTGAGAGACAACGAGCTTTATATGATTGCTGAGAGGAGAGGAATTATAAGCCGGTGTGAATAAAAAAATGGCAAAAAAATTTACAAGAATTAAGTTTTATGAATTTTGTTATAGCGACATAATAAAATTAAAAAAAAAAAAAAAATGAAATATTTCAATAAAACTAATTTTAAAGAAAGAAACCAATTGCTAAGAAAGTTTTAAAAAAAAAACAAAAGAAATAAATAAATGAATTTAAAGATTTTAAAGATAAATTAATATTTATATTGTGTATTGGACATGCGCTTTAGAGAGAAGGGAGAGATAACTTAAAGGAACTGTTCAATTTTATTTAAAATTCTCACCACCCTTAATGGCTTTTAATAAAAATTACTTAAGTTCTGTTCGAACAAAGCAACGGTACCTTACATCACTTGTGGTACAGGGTATATTCAGTTCGCACGGACATATGTAACACACGGAAAGGTTTAAGATAAAACCCCCCTTTTGTTATGCCACGCCATTCGGACCCACTTTTCCCAATCGATCTAAACCTGTCTGTCCGTGTGTCCGTCTAATGTCTACTGATTTAAATTTGTGTTCAAATTTTGATATATTTTGATGAAATTTACCACACTGTTGTGTTTTGACCCAAGAGTTAACGCTATTGAAAATGTTTTGGATCGGATCGCTTTTTCGGCCACTACCCATCTAACGCCCTATTTCAAAAAGTCGTTACTTTAATTTTTTGAATCTTTTCTCTAATAACGAAAATTGAAATTCATATGACGCAAAAATATTTAATTTTCAATGCTTCATGACGAAGTCCGATCATAATATAAGAATTTTTACCAAAATTGATCGCTTAGAGGGCAGAAAGGTATTAATTTTAATATTTTATGATGAAAATTGACCCATAATAGTGATTTGATATAAAAATTTACTGAGTTGAATTTGAAGTACGTATCTCAATTTTTTGAAACTCTTGGGCATAACAATTCTTCCAGAAAGTAAGCCTTTATTTGCAAGGAGGTCTAACGGTGTTACACAAGGTTGTGTAGGGTATCTAATAAGTTAGCCTAGTCCGACTATAATGCTTTCACTTGTTTTTTTTGTTTTAAATTTAATGGGTTTAAAATTTACTACTTACCTTTGCTATGGCCGAGAGGGTCATAGCGTTATGGTGATACTTTGAGTAATTAATTTTGAAGCTGTTCAGCTGTTCACTTAAGGAAAGAGAAGATTTCTGAAGTAGTTTGCAACAGAAAATTTGCAAATTGTTTGGTTAATTCAAGTTCTCGATATATGTTAATCTATTCTCCACAAAAAGGTAAGCATGCACTCATAACACACAAGCAGCCGCACTCACGTTTACTTAAAGTCTGCTGCTCGCTGTGCGACTATATATTAGAAAATACACCACTTTATTTAATTGCGGGCTCAGGAAACGAACAAAAAAAATTATCACGAAACCAGTTATTGATAAAAACGACTACAGCGACGATTTTTACAATGAATACATATTGGCGAAAAACTATTTGATATTAACGTATTTCCGCATATATTCTAAAAAATTTCAAATTTTTTATTGAAAATTTTTAAATCAAATTCAATTTTTTCACCCCTCTTTAAAAAAAAACACTATATGATAAAAGGGCTGCGCTTTCCGAAAATTCTTGCTTCTTCTGGCTCCATTTACTTACTGAGAGAAATTTCTTTGATTACTTGGCAGCATCTGGGCACAATTGCTAGCATTGTTTTTGTAAAATTTTATTCGCTCTGAGAGAAATATCTAACTAACACGCACCATCAACTATACTTTGCTTCGAAATCTCCCGCATTTATAAGCTTTTATATACCGATGTTTTTATGAGTTCTATTGGGAGTAATTTGTCAAGTGAAATAGAAATGAAGAAGAAGAATTGAAAGTAATACAAACGCGGAGATGAACATATATCCCACTAACATTGAATAAGAACACACTGAACTGAATTAAATCTCTTTTTGAAAGCGAAAGGTTGTATGGGCGAGTATATGGAAAATTCTTAGGTACGTACACCGAATTCTGTCTTCACACGGTTTTTACTTAACGCAATGTAATTTGAAGGAAAATCAAATTCTTCATGGAATTTAAGCCGGTCAACATGACTATTTCACTTCTCCGAGGATAAATAAGTACCAGAGTATGGGCGCTTGCTTTAATTCTAGTCAACTTATCAAATCAGATCTATTTCTATACTAACGTTTTTACCAACTGTTCACTGTGTTTTTTCATAGTTGGACCTTCATTATATGATTCCTGGATAATTTTTTTTATTATTTATTTATCTAATTATTCGACTAATCCAAGGCAGCTGTACGAAGCGTACGGTAGTCCAATAAAACCTACATGCAATACTGAAAATTAAAGTTTCTCTTAACTGCATTTATGGGTTGAAGTTGAACAGATATATTTCTTAAGAAACAAAAAATTTTTTGTTAAATAACACTTCAGGAATTTTTTTTTTTTTTTTGATTTGAGAAAAATATACTTCAATTCCGGTTACTGTGCGCTACCTATATGTTTGTATGCGGCACTTGAATTGTTCAAAACAAAGACTCATTTGCTTGCTATATTCTGTATAGGCACAATTGATTTTGCTACCTGAATTCTCGTTTATAAGTTTAAGTTAAAACTTTAAGAGAACAAGAAAATAAACGACTTTTAAACGTTGATGAGCAAACATCGTCAACAGAAAGGAAAGGAGGGAAACAATTTTTGGTATTTTATGAATTTTAAACAAATTCATGTTCGCCGTAGTTTTTCCCGCTCATCAACGTCACAATCTTGCCACCATTAATCGTAGTGCGGTTCAAAAACTATAACAATTTCGTTTTTTTGATTCTAAAACTCTAATAAACTCGGTTTCACCAAATCCAGTGGATATATAACACTACATGACGTACCTTAACGTTGCTATTTACAATCATTAATTGGCGTGTTTTGGTGCAAATTAACATTCGTCGCTCGTCATCATCAAGCGGTCCGAAACTTTTCCTAACAGTGTTTTATTGATTCATCAAAGTCTTTATCTTGCGAATCATGGGTTTGGAGAAATGAAAGCAGCAGCAAACTACGACAAAGAAAAATATTTCCAACGTCAAAACCGTTATCGAAGCCAATTGATTGGCTTGGATATGTATTTTCTGGTTCCAAGCGAATTTGTGCATTTTGCTCAAAATGTAATCGTTCTACTTATATGCCAAATTTTAATGTGGGACTGTATATTTGAAGCCAACAACAGTTTAAGGTCAAAGGTAGTAAAATAACTAATTTTTTTATTCTTCGTGCTATTTAAACGAACAATGTGTTTTTGTGTTTACTTTTCTACTGTAGTTTTCCCCTTAGAAATACAAATCTAAGCAATAAATCCTAATGCAAAACGTGAGCTATTTAGCTTTCGTCTGATTTGATAGATGTGAAAGAGTGTAAGGGTTGCATTGGCAAAAAAAAAAACCAAAATTATCGAACAATACTGGGAGATAATTACGTATGAAAAATTTAGCTTTCGGTTTTGCAAACAGCCATTAGTCAATTTTTAGCTACGTAATTACCCTCCCAAACGCTGTACTATACGTGAAGAAAATCAGGATACTGATTATGTATCTTTCAGTTAAGTGGCCCTCACTTTGTTCACAAGCAAACACCATGATATTATCAACAACAAAATCATACAAACATAAATAAAAGCAAAATTATATAAAACTTTGATTAAAATGAAACGAAATAATAAACATTTTTAACTAAATAAATAAACAAGAAACAAATGAAAGAATCCATTTAATATCAACTGAAAGAAGAATACGTAAGCCTTTTTTTAATCATTTGCATAAATTCATTTTAGTAACCAAACAAAAATAATTATAATAAATCTATAAAGAAAGCTTTTTATATTCGAATAAATTTTGTCTTTTTAATCAGGCATTTTTTTTTGTTTTTCATTTATAGCTGGTGCTCTCTTATGTATGTAACTGTAAACAACCAATACCAACTCTGAAAAACCAGACCAATCCAAAACGTTACCTATTTACCTTCCATCTCACTTCACAACTGTAAGAAAGCCAATCGCGAAAGTGTTATGCATACGTAAAGCAAAAGGTCGTAACTCAAAAACGAAATCTACTAGCTATCGCCTTACATAATTGATACCCGGTTGAAAAATGACAGCGTAAGTTAACTTTCATATGCAATTACTTTTGCTCTTTGCTAATAAAAGTGTCATCAGTGTTACCCTGTGCTTTTAATTTGCGTTTGCTTAGAATAACTAAGTAGAAAAATTTTATTATAAAAGTGCTAATAGTTAATGTGGGAAAAATGGAAAATTATTTTAAAAGGATTTCATATCAAATAAGTAAAAAAAAGAAAGAGATAATAGGTAGAATTAGATATTGTTAAAAGTTCTTCTATAACAGAGTGAGTATCTCATTCGTCACTTTTTCTTAGGCAATTAAGGAAAGACTATTTTCATGACAAAACCAACAAGTTATTGATAGAAAAGATGTCTTAAATTCGTTCTGATTTTTGGCTTAATCCTTATTTACTCAATATCCAAAAAAATTGTTCTGAACCAATCAATATTCATAACGTATAAGTGCCAAAATGCAATGGTATTACAAGGTGTTGGCCAGACGACCTTACTTTGTAATTTTAGCTATAGCTGTGCTTTGTTGTACATGTGTTATTGTATCGTTCACAGTAAGGAGATGGCCAGATTTCTCAGATCCTACTTTGGTAAGATTTCTTTAAAATACAAGACTTACTGACTAGCGTAATTATGCACGTTTACTCTCCAAGGGATTCGAGACACGTGGAACTAACATTGGAAAACGTTTAGCGGCATGGCGCAATCTATTACAAGAAACTGGTCCAAAAAATTCTTTGGTGGCCAATCCTAAAGATTTGCATTTCGGGAAAGGCCTGTATAATACTGAAGCAGATATATACCGCACGCTACAAAGTCATAGAAAAAACCGTAAAAACCGCAAGCGAAAAAATAAACACAAGCAAAAGAAGGGCAACACTCGCAAAAAAAGCAATTCTGAATTAATGAAAATTCTTAATAAGTCAAGCGAGAACGCAAGAAGTAAAATGAAGCTGCAAAATACGCCCAATCTAAATAATTTAATAGTAGAAGAGAATCTAAGTGGGAATTTGCAATTTGGCGAAAATTACAGTGCCGCAGAACTAATTATTTTCAGTGGAATATCCAGTAATTTAACGAATGAAGCAGATTTTTCTTATGGCCGTAATATGACTTTTGTGGATGAGGACGATCATCGTGAGCGTATGCAGGCTAAAACGAATACTTGGCGTTTATTACAACAGGCAACATTTCCAACTTCTCTAAATTGGCATGATGATATAGTTTCCATTCAAGGTTACTTTTGCGACTCACCTGATAAAGCCTATGCGCACTTTGTTGTAAAACGTATTGGTCCGAATGCAACGGACTCATTATTCGATTTGAACAGTCTACTAGCAATGTGTCAGCTACAAGATCAAATTACTCAAGTCCATAACTACGATGAATATTGCCAACGGGAATTAATTAGGAATAGCTGCTGTCGTCCATGGTCCCTTCCCAATTACGTGGCACTCTTGGCCAATAAAAGTTCCTGCTTTGATATAACGGTACTTATACATCTATGCATGCATATAAACCCAATCGTATAATTCTGAAGGTTCTCATTTTTCATCATGTAGAATGTTGAAGTCTTGTTGTTACAAAATCTTTTATTAAAATGTTTTGAATACTATCGGGATTTGAAGTTGAGCAATGATTGCGACGAAGTGAACAAATGTTATGCTCCCGTTGAATGTACGCGTAATAATGTGGTTTTCAATATCTTGCATTATTTAGCCGATAAAAATTTTATTGGGATCAATGTAAATATAAAATCGAATCTATTGCAACATCAGAAAAATTATTATTCAAAATTTCATATTTCGCTAGGATTCGGATGTGCATCTAAAATATGCAATGATTTTTGTGCCAGTTGCTCATACCACGAAAATTTTGCCGTTGTTTCATGGATGGGAAAAAATGTAAGTATTTAAATTCTACGTAATGTGTAACGGTCAATAGGACCGGGCGGTGTTGGTTTTGCGTGCATTTTACCAGGTGTGGCTAGTTGGTCCAAATACGTGCTGCGGCCACAACGATGAATTCTTCTTAAATCATTTTTTAATATATCCTTATTTTCTTGTTTTTTTTCAACCTTATAAAAAATATCCTTGAATCGGTCCATTTCGGTGACGCGATTGAAGTATACACGGTATGTGGTTAATTCGTACTTCATATTTGTCGGATAGTCCGCTAATTTTGCAAAGCGTCTAGATTCTTTTCGCGGCATGAATTCATCCGGAGAATAAACAAGTTGATAAACAGATTTCATCCGCTTCCTTAACATTTCTTCAATTACTTCCAGTTGGACGGGAGGGTCTTGAAAATATTTTTCGAAAATTTTTTTGTCACAGCATTCAAGACGTTTTAAAAAATCCTTATATTCCTCCGCGTTGTCTAAAATATGAGGCCACGTTTTGGTTTTAATCATTTTCCCATTTACTTGTAAATTGTTACGATCATACTGACTAATTAATTCTTGATCGTTCGGCGGAATTGGTTTTACCAAATTTCTTGGCTTTGATTTTGAATGTTGTTGATATTGCGAGCCAGTTGTGGTGTCCGTTGCGACGGGACATTTGCATTTCGCTTTCTTCATGATGTTTTTTTTTTTAGTTTCTGCTTTTCTTTGCTAAGATACGCAATAGGTGTACGCAGTTTTTTTTCATAGAATATAATTGCAGACCAAGCAAATATGGCAAAAGACTATCAGTTATAATAAGTTTTTTGCTTTCTTTCTTTTCTGGGGCAAATAAAATATATGACTTTTCGAAAATTAATAAAAAAAAATTTCATTTCATTTTTTTCCAGAGATTTAAGTAATGAACTCGTTCAAGTGGTTGCCATGGATTTAGGTTTAGAGAATGAATTATTTAATGAGCTGCTTGTGACTGATGCTTGGTTAGCGGCTTTAGGTGGTGCTTTTGCAATGGTCTGTATGTGGTTGTACACAGGTTCCATATTTGTTACTTTGATGACTTGCGTCGCTGTGATATTCTCACTAGGATTAGCTTACTTTATTTATACTCTAGTATTTGAAATGTCCTTTTTCCCCTACATGAATCTACTCGCTGTAGTCATTATTATAGGTGAGTAACTAACGCATAAATTATTTTTCATTACTTGCATTTCTTACGAAACTAATTACCTATATATAATAATTCCACAGGAATTGGTGCTGACGATGCGTTTATTTTTGTGAAAATCTGGCAATGTGTGCTAAAGGAAAGATTTTCGAAAACCTCAACAGTTATTGCAAACACTTTTACAAATATTAACGTCGCATCTGCGGAAACACTGCAAATTGTAATGGGTTTAACACTACGACATGCATCGGTCTCAATGTTTGTCACGTCGGCGACTACGGCTGGGGCATTTTTTGCTTCTTACACCAGTTATATAACGGCCATAAAATGTTTTGGGTTTGTATTCACTTTTTTAATAATGAAAAGAAAAACACTAAATTTATTTCATTATGAACGCATCAATAACCTATTGTAAATTAGTACATGGTATAGAATAGGTGCAAATCTTGTCTGTCTGCGCACCTTTTCTTTTTTGCATAAATTAAACAAAAAATTTTTCTTGATTATATTCTTAAATGTAATGAACTGTAGTATGAAAACATTTGTCATTCGTTCGTAATTAAGCCCTTAAGCACTCGCGTCGTTAAAATGTGGAAATACTTTCTCATTAAGGGACGTTCGACAACATTTTCATAATTCATTCGTTTGAAATACGGCTTAAAAATATATATAAAAGCCGTTTAAGAATTTCATATATACGAAACTGACTATGTTGTAAGTTATTAAAAATTTGTAGTAAGTGTATTACATCTACCTTAAATTATAGGGATATATAGGATGGTTTTGTTTTATTTGATCTATTTTTTGATAAAGTATGACACGCTAACATGCCTCAAAGATGAAATAGATTGTTACGAGCATCGCTCATGAAAACTATTATTTTGAACAAGTCGTTGTATGAAAACATTGCTGTTTTTAATGCACCTTAACAAAACAAAGTAAAACTTAACTAACTCTGACACATCAAATGAATATGAAAACTTTCGATTCACTTTTTAAAATCGTAGACCTCTTCATATATAGCAACAACTTTGATATGCGATATTTTCGAACGTTTTGCGATAAAAATTGGTATGTTTTCATATGCAGGTTCACTGTGCTAAGTGAATCTTTTTTATGATGGGGTCTAAGTCTTGGTATTTTATAGATGAAAAGGTTTAATGGATTTTACTAACTATCTTATGCGCTGTTATCTAGTTTATATATTTATTTAAATGTTAAGCGAATTACATATTTTTAGTGTATTTGCAGGAACGGCCGTTATAACTAACTATACACTGATGATTACTTGGCTGCCAGCTTCCGTTTCGTTAATGGAACGTTTAACATATTGCGATACACGCAATAAATTACAAATACACAAACTAATACTTATGTTCAATAAGTCAATTAATCGCTCCTGCGAAAATCTGGAAAATTGCATAATCGAAGCTGTTATAAATTATGCTTTCCTATGGTTTATTACTTTCGGTTAGTAATCGTACTTACTTGTAATTATACGTTACAAAAAAAAATCTGATTTGATTTTTCAGGGACTATCGGTATTGTGTCCATCATGATTGTTTTATATAAGCCGGGTCTGAAATTGCCAGAAAACTCTCATTTTCAACTATTCGTCTCTAATCATCCATTTGAAGTTTACAATTCGAAATTGAAATATGAATTTTGGTTCGAGAAATCCATTTCAGTAAGTCAATAGTGCCATATTTAATCAATATATTATGTATTAAATTTCTTATTAACAATCTTTGCAGACCTATGAAAATTTTAAGTTACCTTTGCGTTTTGTATGGGGTATCCAAGCTACTGATGACGGGGATTATACTAACCCATTTGATTATGGTAATTTACACTATGACAATAATTTTAATATTTCTACGAAAGCAGCACAATCGTGGTTGTTGGAATTTTGCCAAAATCTAAAACAACAGTCGTTCTATCAACTTACTTTCGGCCTCTTTTTACCCGACTGTTTCGTAGAGAATCTAATTACACTTATGGATAGAATGTATGTGTTTTATAAAATTTTATTTCGATATTACTTACTTTTCGCAAATATCAATTCCAGGTGCGTTAATAGTATGGATGACGTCGATGCTAGTCCTTGTTGCAATGTATCTCAATTTCCATATGAAACGGAAGTTTTCAATTTCTGCTTGCCTCGAATAATTTCCTCATTATATGCTACGCCACGTAAATATTTCGTACCGGGTGTAGCAGGGCCGAGATTTATGGCCTCGTCAAACACGATTTTGAATATAAATAATTCCAGCACGGAAGATTTATCTAACTATGCGTTTACGAATTCTTCGGTGATGCACGCATCTCTTCCATTAGTAAAAGTTGTTGTAATAGAATTTGAATCGAATTTTTCTTACACTACCGTCTATCAAGATGTTAAAGAGTTTGTCAATACGGTGGAAACGTGGTTTCGTAGTGAAATGCAAAAAGCGCCGCCGGAAATGCAAGGCGGCTGGTTTATAAGCGAATTGAAATTCTACGATGTTCAAGATACTTTAAGGCACGGTACGTTAATCGCGATAGCTGTAGCTATGACAGCTTCTTTGGTAGTGTTGCTGGTGGTGACTTGCAATGTCTTGGTATCCTTATACGCCGTAGTTACAGTGGTATTTACAATATTTGTAACCATAGCAATTCTGGTTCTATTCGATTGGGAGCTTAATATTCTAGAAAGTATTACAGTGAGTACAGCTATTGGATTAGCAGTAGATTTTAGTTTACATTATGGTATACATTATCGTTTGGCCCCTACTTGTGAACGTTTAGCAGCCACACAATTTGCCATGAGTCGAATTATCGGCCCTACTGCAATGGCGGCATGTACTACTGGTTTAGCTGGTGGTTTTATGCTATTTTCTAATGTCTTGCCGTATTTACAAATCGGTATATTTTTGGTTGTGGTAATGACAGTCAGTTGGTTGTACGCTACACTTTTTCTAATGAGTTTATTGAAACTGTTCGGACCTCAATATGGTTTCATGCAATTTGCTTATCCTCGGTTAGTTAGGAAAAACTCCAAAACGAATGGTTTAACATTCTACGAGCGTAAACCTTGCAATTTAACAGCCAATGAACAATTATTAACACCTTGCAGTTCGGCGATCGGTGACCTAGTAAATTCCGAGACTCATGAATTGGATTCTCTCACTTCGAACACATTGATCAGAACTATATCAAGTATAGAATGCTCTCAACAAAATCTTCCGACAGAATATGAGCAAATATTCTCGAGCAATACGCTGAAACCACACAGCGGTGTAACAGTTTCTACAAAATCAAATGTGCTAAAAAAAATCTGCATTCAACGATAATTCAAATATTGTATCAGAGTCCACAATTCCAAAGGAACTTATTATGAGGAAAAAGTGAAATCGTCTACCATTAAAAACTTATGTACTTAAGATATGCTCCTAAAATAGTCAAAAACAAAGGCTGGTACTCCTATCCGTTTAGCAAATCTACATAATTAAAAGGTAAGCTAAGCATTTTTTTTTTTTTCGCTCAATGCTTACGCGTTTATTTAAAAAAAATTAGTTTTCCTACCGCATAAATGTATTATAATTTACCTTACAATACGTTTACATTTTCTCCCAAATAATTTTTAGTTATTAATAAAGAAGAAAATTATATTCGGTCGGGTCCGAATCTTTTCTAGCCATCACCGTTATTCTAAAAGAAATTAAAAGGAAAGAAAAAACTAAATTTTCATACTTTATAATATTGCGTGGGCGTGGCTGTTACTGTCTATTCTATGAACAAATAAAAATATGATTTCTTCCATATTTGCACATAAATAGTAGTGTCCTCGGTAAAGCAAATTGCAGAAAACTTTAGATTTCTATCTTTCATAATTCATGAGTAATGGACGAAAATCCACAAATGTTTCCTTAGAAAAACCGAACTGGGCTTTAACCAATTCGCCCCATTTGGTATGCCAGTCTGCGTGTAAAAATTTCCAATGTTTCTGCTGAATTTGAAGCCAATAACTTCTTTTTTTTTTGGATCAGGAGAAAGCTTACTCCAAAACTTTACATAGACATACATACGGACATACTTAAATCGCTTTAAAACCTTATAGGATCTCTGAAGCTTCATTCTGGATGTTGCAAACATTTTGACGAAATTAATATATCCCTTATCTTTCGGTGGTGGTTATAAAATAACAAGAATTTTAAAATTTATATATATATTATATATACATATATATAGATGCACATAGTGCAAGATCAAAAACTGAATTAAACGTTAACAACAATAATATAATATAATGCACTGAACACTATTCAGTCTCCGCCCTAACAATAAAAAGTACAACATAATGTGTATAAATATTAACCTATAACGTTTATTAGCGAAATCTGTCAAAAAAAAAAAAAAATTTCCGCGCAAAGCTCACCAAAGGAAATTTCTTAAAATTTCCAAAAGTTTTAGCCAATAATTCCTTTTGAGTCATTAAAAAAAAAACCATTGCCGCGGTTTGGGGTTCTCTGTAAAGACATATATGTTTATCCTCAAATTTCGCTCTCGCTTTCACGAAGAGTCCACACGTTCACTGGTTGAAAGGCTTGCAATCGATTAGGGGAACACTTGATATTGTGCCAATAGGTCGCAGCAGTGAGTTCTTTGATTTTCGAAACCTTTGAAAAATCTCTCAAATTTTATACGCTTTTCCATGGAAATCCTATTTGACAGGTAATGTGCTTTACCGGGGACGTCTGTATTGTCCTCCCTTGTCGAAAATTTTTCTTAAATCTTTTCAATTATCTCTGGCTCACACTATTTAAATGAAAGAATTTGAGATTGTGGTGTGTTCACGTGAACCGAAGCGCGGAAATATACTTACTCTTACGGCTACGAACATTATTCTTATGTGGGACTGTTAAACTAACTAGTCTCTGAATACTACTGACACTAATGAATACTGAGCCGTACATATTTTTCTGTCTTTTTATCATATGAGATTTAATATAACATAAATACATAGTTGTATTTAGATAATCATAATTGTATTTGTTCCTGAATTTAAAAAAGAATTGTCTTTGAATTAAAAAAAAAAAAAGAAGCCTTTTTGCTTTTGTACTTAGAAACGAGAAAAAAACAAAAACAAAAATCTATAGATTTTGAACTTATGCTTAAGCAACTATAATATTAACAAGGAAGAAAATTATATTCGGTTTTTGACCGAATCTTTTATACCCATCACCGTTATCCTAAAAAAGGCAAAAAAAAAAAAAAAATTGAACTAAATTTTCATTTCTTTTGTCTCATTGGCCTGTGGGCGTTATACGCGTTTAAGTCACTCCCAAATTCTTTTGCAATTTTCGCCAAAGAGAGACTGTTTAGTACAAATACTAAACAGTTGCGCGGACGAATCGACGAACATGTTTTTTGGGTGCATTCCAAATTTGCAACTGACCAAGAATTTATATATTTGATGGGGTTTAGTTCTGTGAATTATACTTTGGTAGGCGTGGTCAATTTTCCCGATTTTTGTACAGGTACTACAGTACCGTTCATATAATACGCGTTCAAATTGTTGCATCTGCTATAGGTTATGAGTAGCGAGCAAAAACCAAATTTTTATTGCTTTTGAAAAACAGAGATATTCTCAGTTTACTTGGTGCTATACACGCGTGTCCTTCAATCGATTTGGCTCATTTTCAATACCTATCTGTGTGCAAAAACTTTCAATCCTTTTCCTAAATTTAAAATCGATAGCTTCATTTTTGCATCCAAGAGACGGACAGACGGACTTGCTTAAATCGATTTGGTATTTGATGCTAACCGTAGTTTGTGAGGTTCCTGATGGTTCCGTCTGGACGTTGCAAAAGTTTTAATAAAATGAATATATTCCGCATCCTTCGGTGATAGGTATATAAAAACGATCAAACTATAATCGCTATATATATATAGAGGAGCAGAAAAAAAAAAAAAAAACAAACGACAAAAGTTTAGCGTTACCGTGTAGATGGACATGTATGTATCGCATATAGAACTATCCTAAATGTTACTCACGTTAAGTCTTTTCGCGTCAAATATTCGCGAAAAGAATGAAACGAAATATATATACAATTAACTGTGATATATAGAAAACTTGAAAACAAAAACTGATAAACTGAAAAATAATTAAATATATATATGTATACTTGAATTAGATACATACTTATACATGTTTAAATGTTTGTATGTATGTATGTATGTATATGTGTTTATGCATATTAAAGAATAGTTTGTATATGTGTTAAAATGTTTTGAGAATTTTTTTAAGAAATTTAAGAAAATGAATTCTATATAAATTGAAAAATGTTCTACGCTTTTGATGAAACTCACTTTCTTTTAATATTTGATATGATCTTCAATGGCATTAAAAAAGAAGACAAATTTGTTTCTTTTTTTTTTTCATTTAATTTAATTGAATTTCTACGAAATTTTTAATTTACATAAGTTATATTAATTTTAAGTAGAATAAAACGTTTGCAAGATATTATATGCTGTCACAAAAAAAAAAAAAAAAAAAAAAAAAAAAATGAAAATTCTCCGTACAAAAATCCCGCTTGATCTGTATTGCCACAGATTCGCAAAACTTTCTTATAAGTTCCGGTATCAGTATGTTCGGATCTATTTTGAAATTTTGTGGTCTCAATAAAAACATCGAACGGGCAAGTTATCCTAAGTTGTGCGGCATTGTGTGCGAAGCGCCGGCGCGCATGATATCGATCGCGGAGAATTTGGCATTGTGCTTGTGACTTGACGCGTGCAATGCGCTAAACCGATTGCGCTTAGTCCGATTGGATTCAATATTTTTTCTACTCGTGATGGTCCAAAATCCAATACGTTCCGAAGATCAAACGAATGCGTCCATCTACGGATTTTTGTTATCATTTGGAAATCGATTTTAAAGAAAGAAAATTTGAACGAGGAACTCAAAGCGAATATCGAAATAAGTTCAAGCATCGCTTTTTTTGTCAATTCTGGAATCTATCTACAGGATGCTTTATTATTTTATAATTTTGAACCGTTTTCTTTGGCATTATATACTAAAGCAATAGCGATTGTTTTATAATTTCACTTAATTTTTTGCAAATTTTCGATTGAAATTCTTAATTACAAATACTCGACTATATCGCATTTTATCGATATGTTCGGACAACTTTGTCCGACCACATTGCCACGATAGCTGGCACTTTTTTCGGTTAATAGTTTACGAAAAATGGGTAATATAGCCGTCTCGCCATCCAATAATTCCGTTTCGGAACTAGCGCCATATATAGATGTTGAATCCAATTTCGTTGATCGATGTTTATTAGTTCCTCCACTGCGCTGTTTATCGGGCGCTACGTTAGGCGACGAATGATGATGAGCGGCATGTTGTATATTCGTACGATTCAATTTACGCTGTTGTATGCATTGAGTGCTGGGTGGGGTAGGTTCACGCTCCCGTTCACTATCGGTTTCACTTTGACATACTGTACCTTTTTGCGGCTTATGACGATGTTTATTGCGATTCTTTTCAGACACAGACCGTTGAATCGGTGATGTTATTTGATCGTAAGGCGTTACAATGTGACTATGCTCCGAACAACGTTGAGGACTAGCATAAATACGTGGTGACTGACGTACATGTTGTTTCGTATGTGAGAGAGTATGTGTATCCCAAAGATCGCTTTGAGATACAACAAAGTTCGATTTGGTTGTACTCTGCGTAGTGCCTTGACTGACGCGGCGTTTTTCCGTGCTTACGAGATCTATACAATAAAAGAGTAAAGGAGATAATCTAATGAAGTATTATCTACTTATTAATTTTATTTATAAATTAAGCCAGAGCATAAATTCTAAGGCTAAAAGTGTTAAAGCACTAGCATTCTAAGGCATTCGGCTTTATTAAAAACTCTACCGCACTTGAGATTTGAACCCGCGACCATTGAGTTAATCTAGTGAAGTAAATTTTTAAATCAACGAGAAAATGTCTTAAGCACTCGTAGTTACTAGAGCTAGCAGTTTTGTGTTTTAAGGGAAAAACCTATCGATATTATTGCGACATTTTGTCCGTACTTCAAGGTTAAAGAATTTAATTTTTTCAATCCTATTCCGTAAGAGGAATTCTTGCGAATATTTTCATTTTATTTTTTACCATATCTTCTCAATAGGTTTACGTTTGTGTGTGTGTGTGTGTGTTTGTGTGCATTTTCCGTTTTTTTAGTATCCAAAAATTCTTTGCTCTTCCTCCTTATTCCTGTAAGTCAGTCTAAAAGTCTTATAAGGTTTTGTGTGCCGGGTCATTGTTCCCATATATTCAAAAAAAAAGTGCCAAGCGAAACGATACCATATAAAACTTTTACTTGAAACAAATATCACTTACTTTTTACAACGTTATTGGCTTTAGCATGTGGAGCGTGAGGGCAGACATTGTTAAGTTCACTTTGGGATACAGAAATATTTGTAGAGGAATTCCGATGATTGATATTGTTTAGGTGCCTTTCAGCGTCTTTCGGCGTCTGAGTTCCATTTTCATAGTACTTTTAAATGTCAGATAAGTAAAATAATATAATTTATTTACACGAATCAATTTAAATCACTTACGCAACTTACCTTAACGTTAGCGGACGGACGACGTTCTCTTAACGTAGTGTCGTCCTTTTGCACATTATTGCATTCCTGCGCTTGTAAGCTAGATATTGAGCCAATATGAACATCGGTTTGAGCTGAAACTGAATTTCGTTTCTCTGCCGCTCTTCGGCTCTCATTGCAAATATTGACTCCATGATGTTTTTGATGCTGCTGCAATTGTAGCTGAGCCTGTTGCTGTAACTGCTGATGCAACTGCTGCTGTATAGGTTGCATTACCTGTTGTGTCAGGGATGGCTGTTTGATTGGTAATTGAAAACGTGGTTGCGGTTGCGGTTGCGGTTGCGTTTGCGGTTGTTGTTGTTGTGCCGTTAGACTTTCTTGGCGTTTAATAGTTTTTTTTCTACAGCGAAAATGATTGTTTAAAATGATTTTCGAAACAATGTAAAATATACTTACGGAGGTAAGGATGGTGCTGTCGTTGATTGTACCGATACTACCGAATTGTCGATTTCGACATGAGTAGAGGTTACACTATCGACCGAAGTTAGTTCTGTAATTTCTGTAAAACATTTTCATGTCATTCTATGGTGGTTGAAAATTAAAAAAAAATATATTCCCAAACCAAAATCGAACCTGTTGTACTTGGCATATCTCTACGTAAAGGTGGGACTGATAAATGAGACGTTTCATTTTGACCGCCCACTGCTTCTGCGCCGTTAAGTATGGGTTCGGTATCTCCAGCACCACCTAAACTGCCGCTATCCGCGCTACTGCAAGTAATACCATCGATCCATTTTCTTGCCTCAGGCCCCAATTTTCGCACAAGAACCTGTAATTCATTTTCTTTTTCCATCAAAACTTTACGAAAACGACAATTTGTATTTTTAACGTCCCGCAAACGTTGCTCCAATTCGCATACAGACGAATCTCGTCGATTTTTCGACATAGGTCTCAGTGTGGCTCTGACACGTTTATCTACTACGCCTTGCGGATTGCGTTTCAGCTCGAGTAACTGGTGCGGGAAGTGAGGGAATATGAAGAACAAATAAATAATGTATATTTTAAAAGGAGCTTCCAAGACTGAACTTTCGAATAACAAACACACACACACAAAATTAAAAAGATGAAGATAAACAGAAATATTAGCTGCGTTCGCATGAAAAAAGGGTACATGAAATTTTGTACCCTTATCTACAGGCGCTAGCTCGCTGAACTCGCTTAAGGAGTTTTGGTGAGAAAGATCAGTAGAATCAGATATTTTTCATAAGTGACTTAATGAAGAGAATTTTGTAAGCTATATACGATAGAGATTGACATAACAAGCCATTTTGAGATTTTTTTCTTAGCGGTTGTCTCGCTTGACTATTTCTTTAGGTTAAGCCATGCAATCCCTTGTTGCTTCCTTGAGCAGAGCAGTTTATCAACGACATTTAACTGTTTAATCATTTGTTTTCAGTTCACACGTTAGGTTGATCACGTTGCTCGAAAATGACGTGCGTTAGCATCATATTCATCATTCTAATCGCATCGATCAATAACCGAATGAAAATCGTAATCGTAATGTTACGTACACCTACAGGCAGGTATAAGTAATAAAAAGGATATCGGGGCTATGAATAAAAATGCTAGTGAACAACATATTTACGGAGTATGGCTTGAAGAAGAAAAATCAATTTGGTAAATTTCTTAAGTTATAACGAACGCACTTCACTAAGGGAAAATTTTAATGAAAATCTCTACACTTGTTGATCTTAGACTCTGGAAACAAATATTGAAATTTTGCAAAAAAAAAAAAAAACGTTACAAAGTGCATACATAATAGATAAAATTCGTTCGACGATTATGAAAGCGTCAAGTCAAAAAAGTGCCAGCTGTAATGCACATTATCATCTACATCAGGTACACTTTTCAAAAACATTATTTTACCCCTCTTAACGGTTGTTTATGCCCTTCTTTAATCTTTTCTAACCCACACTGCACTTGCACTCAAAAGTCGAATTTTTGAAAAGTCTTCTCAGTCCACACGATTTCTCAAAGACTGAGATGAAAAGAAAAAAAAAAAAAAACGCTTTACCCCTGAAATATCTCGTAAAAGACATGCAGGCTAAGCTGTGAGAAAAGCAAACATCTTTCGAACATCTTCTTCCCCTCATTATGGCCATTGCTTCTTTAAATCCGTTTCTGGGAGAAGTCGAAATTGTCGAGCTTGTTACAAATTATTATTATGATGCTCAAGAAGATTCTTAAAAGCTCTACGCCAACCAAGAAGTTTAAAGTCTAGGGCTTGATGCTAGGATGGTTGAAATGTCCAAATATCATCACAAATTAACCTAAATGTATGGCTAAATACTTTTTTTCTACTTTTTTGAGTGACTTCGGTTCTGCGTAAGTTAGTAGAATTAAGTTCAGTTTCAAAAATTCAACCTAAAATGACTTATATTATTTTTCATAATCACCGTCCATAATGAATGTTCTTTGATAGACATTTATATAGACACACACACACACACACACACATAAATACAAATAATTGCCATCGTGCTCGAACGCATGCAAACAAAAATAACAACGACGAGTAATACAATCGCAAAACACAAGAAATGAAAAAAATGGGAAAAAACTACAAAACTTCCTTACTACCAGTCTTACTTTCGGTACGAACACCAAACACAAAGTGGCTGTCGTACAAAAAATTATAAAAAATGAGAGTAAGACAAAAACTAAATCTTTGCGATCGGATAAAACCAATGAAATAGCGGCGCCAGCTATGCATGTAATAAAAACATTATACACCGAGAAACCGATATGCTTGGAATCATTTAATGCCGGTATCGAAACATGACGTGTTTCCCAAGCCAAGAAAGCGCCGAAAACCTGAAAATAAAAATTTTCCATTTCTATCTTTAACAACTTGACATGAACTTTAGTATGATTATATTGAAAATAATTTACCAATAAAAGACCTTTATAAGCATAAATAATACTTAAAAATATCGTCATATGCTCCGATTGGCAATATTCATTCTCGGGTATAACTAAAACATCATCAATAGATTCATGATGCTAAAAATATATCGCAATAGAAGAGATATATATTGAGTGAGAGAGAGAGAGAGAGAGAGAGAGAGAGAGAGTGAGATATTTCTTTGAAGAAAAACTTACTCTTGGCTCCAATTGCTTTGTTGCTCTATAGAAGGGATCGGCAACTTGCCATGTTGTTATAATCGCTACATCGATAACCAAGAGAATACCAACGACCATAAACAATTGATAATCCTTGATGACCTTTTTATTCAATTTTAAATCGGTAAATATTGAATGCACTCGCCACGTCTTCGAAAACATTGCCCCGAAAGCTAAACTGAAACCCGCCATTAGAACCCAAGCTCGGGCCGTACAAACGTAAGGAAAAGCTGCCACACTACTTAGCGTGGTATCTAATCCCAAAAATACTACGCTTAGATAGGTTAACATACAACCCACTATTATTAGATTATTCAGATGTGGACTTGACATTTTAATGTACCTTGAAAATAGTAAAAGTTAAGCAATAACAATAAAATCAAATGAACGGAAATTATAGGAGTTCGCTTATACCATATACCATTTGTAGTCCGTCCGTTTCCCATCTCCATATTCACACTTTTATGTCTATCGTAAAGGTTGCGTCTTTTCGAGACATGTTAATGAAAAATGTGTTGGCCCAAGAACGAGCTACATTCGAAACGGATTGAATCGATCATTTTTACGACCCCTGCCCATATAACGTACTGTTCTGAACAACCCGTATATGATCATAACGGTATATTTTCGGAACCTTCTCCAATATAAATGGTCTTTATAAAAAACAATATTTCTTCTGTAGTATAGTTACTTGATATGTGAAATTACTGCTCGAAATTTGGACCACATAAGTCTATTTTGCTTTATATAACAGTTCCCATGGAAATAAGATATAAATTTTAGTATTTTATAAAGCAGATGATTATTAACGAAATGATATAGAGTACTTAACAGTCGGCTTTGCCCACCTATAGCATATTGACTTTTTCAGTAGTGTCAGTAAATGTCTTCTTACCTTTGATTTCTGTATTTTATATTAAATGCCAAAAAAACAAAAGCTATTATTACACCCACCACACTGGCACTGGCAGATATTATATAAATGGTTATATTAACTTGGCTATGTTCTATATAAATCAAAGTACGATCCTTCGGTGGAGTTTTGCCCACCTACAAAAAAAAAACGAAGCTAATTAAAGATTTCCAAAGATTAGTGCTTTCTCAAAAGTAAAACAAAAATTTATATATAAAATAAGTTGTGGTAAACGAATATCTCTACTTCTATGTATATGTAGAAGAGTAACTTCTGGTTTGACGAAAATCCTTCTATGTCAATATTCGTTCAAACAAGATCCTGCTCTTCGGTAAGACGAGAAGAAAAAGAGAAGAAAGCTATCTTGCAGACTTACCCAACGAACGGGTCTTCCCATACTTAAGTCCAAGCGATTCTGTTGCGAATGATATTCGCCAATTTTTTCAACTTGGCCCGACTGAAATTGATTTATCAATATATTCGCTTTACGTTCGTTATTATAAAAACGTACAGGGCCCTGAATATAAAATGGATTAAAATTGAGAGTACTTTACATCTTTGTTCCACAACGTCTTACTTACCGTAACACCTTCGAAAGAAGTATTTCTTAAAGCTTCGAGAAAAATACTTTCCCATTCTTTAACACGATAATCGAAATGAGTTAAGAAATCTTCACGTTTCTGTGCCACATATTGAATAGCTAAAGCAGCTGCCCAAATACCATCATAGGTATAGCCATGAAATCGGGAATATTCATTGCCACGCAAACTGTCATATTCAGAGAGATATTCGTCGGCAGTCTATTTATGGGAATAAGGAAAAGATGTTAAAACATTTATGTCGGAAAATGCCGGCCATGAAATATTCTCCATTACTTTACAACAACTCTTATTAAAATGTGATGCTATAGGGAAAGAGTAGAAAAAGTAAAAGAGAGAGAGAGAGAGAGAGAGAGAGAGAGTGACAAAGACAATGCGATGTGTAGATGAAATACACGAGCATAAAGGGAAACATCGGAGAGAGACAGAGAGACAGACAGACGGACAGGTAGACTGATTTAACCGTTTAAGTCCCACACAACGAGATCGTTCTGCTTGGGATTTTTCGATAGTGTTTTTTCAATATCGTCCCCAATCGCGATCGCGCTGCTTGGGACTCAAACGGTTCAAAATCAATTAATGAAATATTTCTGAATCGAATGGCATAACAAAATGATCTCGTGCACTGTACATAGGAGAGATTCTGTGCCACAAACGGTATATGGTACAAAATTACACAACACAACAACATATATAACTCGTGTGTGCAACGACTTACAATTCCTGCTATAGTTATATCACCGCTGGTGGATAACGGTAATAAGTCTACCATAATGGTGCCTTCCAGAGCTAAGGTAATGTCCTCTACAGTACACTCGGAGTCTGTTGTATTCCACCATTCCGACGAATAAGTGCCCATAATTAACCATTGATAAGCGCGTCCATACATTTCCAGCCTACAATGATATCAATTTAATTATTTGAAATCACCAATAACACAATAGACGGTCAATTTACTTATAGGCGTAGCAAAAAACTCGTCGTGCAAAATGTTCATTGAAATTCCCCAAAATGATACGAACATCCTTTTCGCGTAATTTTTTTAATGATTCACCGACATCGTTAACAAAACTTTGTGTTTCCACTACCTCCAGTTCCATAGCATCTAAATCGGCCACCATATGATTATGCGGCAAAGAGTAACGCGGTTCATTTTGATATAATGTTCCTACACGTGTCCAATTGAATTCCTTTAATAAAGCAAGGCGTGGCGCGTTGAAAGCATTTTCGGATGGTACGACGCGAAAAAAATTGGGAAAGGCATCCTTAGTAAACATGGGATGAGTATCAGCATATGATAGTTGGGTTAAATGCCAGTGTTTGCTAGCTTTTGCTATCGGATCGGTTACATGAGTGCAAGCAGCACCGAACAGCATTAGCTTATTGGGTCCGGAATGCATCATATCGAAGAAGGACTTCACACCCACTGCAGCGTTACACTAAATTCATGAAAAAATGTTTACTCTAATTAATCGTTTTTTTTTTATTATATTTGAATTTTTTTTTTATACTTCGGTATCATTCCACCACATATGTAGTCT